CAATCATCGTCTGACTCCATCTCGATCAAACGCAGCATCCGGTTTCTACAGGGGCGTTTGACTGACCGGCCACACAATAACCAAAAACAAAATCAAAGCTTCATGCACACATATGACATAAGTAAGAAACGGATGAAAAAGGGACAACCACGGCACAACTCTGCGCGGCGGTATATAGGGCCTTGTGCGCGGCAAACAACGGACAATGTCCCACGCAAGATCCCGCGTTTCTTCAGCGGCCTTGAACGGAATGAAAACATTACATTTCTTTTTTGGAGCTATTTGATGACGTCAAAAAATACAATACCCGTTTTAATGGTCAAAATCGAGACAATTACTCACAAAAATGTTTCCCTATAAGCATTACAAATAAATACTTTTAAATATTTAGGTAGGTAAATGACAATGTTTTTTTCAAACAATTAATATTATTTGCTTACTTAAACGTCATATACAATGCTGAGATCACTACGGGGCTGTCTTAGAGTGTAGCTGCACTGGCAACCTTTAGGCTAGACTCCAGGGGTCATTATACCAGAACAACATGATTCTACCAGCCAGTAGGTCATTTTTCTACTACAGGGTGTTTCACTAAAAGTGTCAAAAAGTAAATGCTTATTAAAGATATATAAAATACGCAAAGCACGTGGTTGCGCACGTGGCTTTGTTGCAAATTTTTGAACATTTATGCTTTGGCCACTTAAGACATATTTTACACTCATACGGAGCGAGGGCAGGAGGCCAAAGTTACTAGTCGTTTTTTTCCTTATACAGAACAAGAACAGGTTATTTACACCGCAACAGGAGCGGTGGATTACACTTACATTTGGTGCTATCAGAAACATTGAAACCGTACGCCGACTTTTCAGGAAACGTTTCACTCTCTTACCTCGCTACGACCCAGATTATAAAAGTTTCAAAGTGCTTCTTGAGAGGTTTAAAAGGATTCCTTTGATGCCGGTTCCAGTCCAAAAAAAAGGCGGGTCGCCCCCACCTCTCGGCGGAAATCGTTGAAAAGGTCAGGGTCTTTTTTAGGGCCTTTTAAGATAACAAGAAGCTTATTTCAACATCAGAAATAGCCAAGCCCCCAATTTATCAGAAACAACCACTGTAACGGTTGTAGCCACCAAGAACTGGCTGGACCAGAAGTTCCGTTCCCGGGCCGAATAATCAGCTGCCTCACCGCCCGCCCCTTGCCAGCGCGAGGCCCCGATCTGTCACCGCTAGCCTTCTGGTTTTGGTCAGTAGCTCTCGCAGAGCTGAGGAAGACTTAAGTCGCATCACTTTTGGAGCTGAAGAGCACAATGCAAGGCTTTGCCGACAGTCTGGACGCTGAATATGAAAACGGGCTGTGAGCCACCTCCGGACACGTGCGGAAACGGTGCATCAAAAGAAGGGGCGGATATGTGTAATAGGTTTGAGTGACGGTGATATCATTTTTACATATTCAAATGTCCAACAATCGCGGATGGAATGATGTGCAAATGTCCATAGAAAACATAGTTATTATGTGCATTAGGGCCTTTTACTTTTTGACACTTTTAGTGAAACACCCTGTAGATTGGTGCTACGCTCAGCATTTAGGTGCCAGATTCAGAAAAAAGAGTAAGGCGTACCGATGAATAGGTGCCAGAAACAGCTAATTAAGGTCATTTTCCATGATTGGTGCTGGTATCCACCAAATAGGTGCTGAGGACCAATTTTGGGGCGAGTCAGCTTTTAGGTGCCAGAAATAGCTTTTCTGGGACGCAATTAAATGGCGTCCGTTTTGAACATAACAACAACATTAAATGGGGCTAATACAATGTATAGGTATGCTCAAAGGCTTCACTTTATTAGACCAAAGTTAGGTCAATGCAATCCGAACGAAACATCAACAGACTAGACGCAAAAGTGGCCCGTTAAGAGCAAAGAAGCCAACACATTGTGCCGAAATGGAACGAGCATTGACTAGCTACCTACAAACGCGAGCCAGGGCTTAGCTTTCGCGATCAAAAGCAACATACCCATACATACATACATACATACATACATGTTACAACATACCCCACCCGGCTCTGATACAACATGTACCTAGCCGCCATCTTGGAAAAAACATCCTCGTGCTCAAAAAACAGCGGACAGCTGGAGAAATCCGTTTTCACTCACGCAGCCTTAGAACCTACCCTCACCACCGCAGCGCACCGCTACGGAGATCTTTCAAATTCGTGCACATCTAAATGCCCAGAACACACATTTTCTTGCAACTTATTTTTTTAGAATGACATTAAAAAAAACATAAAATCGGCTCTCACCTCGAGACGCGTCCACTCAGCCACAAGACAGAACAGGGAAAGATGGCGCCCGGAAAACCTCGTCGGCTGGTCGTGTCGCGAGCGCCATCCATTGGATAAGTTTGGCACAATTCGCCCTGATACAACTTGGACATGATACAACTCTCCCCGCTCTCCCCTACGGCTCACAAAGTTCTAGCACTTATCAGGCCAGATTTGCCCTTCTTGGACGTTGACCTAAGATGACCCGGCCAAGACCTTGAAATTGGGCATCATCGGCGTTCTCTCATCACGGGCAGCATCCTCGCTTTTCCGCGAAGCTCTACCTCGATCAGGGACCGAAAGCATACCTTAGCGTTACGTTGGTAAACTTTTTACCTTAGCGACCCGTAAAACACGAATAAGAGCTACAGCGACACAGAAAGCGTATTCGATATAGCTTTTTTAAAGCTCTTTCGCCAACTTCGCCTCAGACTTCGGGTCTATGGCTTGTGCACCACAGAGGCCAAACAGCTAAACGGGCGGATTCTGCCGAAACATTTGTTCTGTAACAACCTATAGATTCAGTGAATGTGTATGATATTCATGTTATCACCATCGTGTTTGTTTCGTCGAAATACGTCGCATGGCTTACAATTTGAACTTGAAAATTTAACTAGAAAACTTGACATCAGGTAAAGGTCATGTCCTGACCGGAAAAGAACCTGCTGCATATGGATCGATCTGTGTTGCTGAGCTGAACACACTCCAGGTGCTGTCATCGCTCTACAGCGTCTCCATCGAAAGTTGTTGTCGAAAATGTGTTAGAGACCTTTGATGACCTAATGACTGACCAATTGACCATTCAAGTCACCATCTGGTCATTATAGTTGCACCTTATCTCTAAAATGAGCAGAGGTGCCATGGCTACAAAAGTATCTAGCGCTTTTAGCATATTCGTTTAAAGCAGAGGCCAGAGGGCACTCGTGCTTTTTCCCATATCTTATCATGATTGGTGAGGACAGGTCACATATTTGACCAGACTTCACTTCTCAGATGTAAAATCCCATATTGATGAACTGTTGGTACTTATACTCCCATTCATTACACCAAATTTCAGACTTATAGGAGAAAATCAATAGGAATGACAAGATTGCAGTTTTTAGAGGCATTAAAACTGAGCTTGACATGACATTGTGACTGACCTCAGGTGACCTGTGCTTGATTTCTATGCTCGATGCAAAAATGATGTGTACCTAGGTACGTACAATAAGATATACCGCTGCTTTTGCGGCGCTGCTCGCCGATGTTTTTCTCAACACACGAAAAAAACGGGAGTGTGGCTAAAAACGCCCCTACCCATCAAGATGAAGACCGTCAACCCCCCCCCCCCCCACACACACACACACACACTCAAAAATCCGTGGCGACGCCCCTGTCGGGACCTGTTAGAAAGTCGTAAAGCGTGGCTGCTAAGGGGTTTTCCGGGGTGCTGATCACAAATATCGTGTTAGTTTTGATCACAGATGATGTCGTTAACTGTTAAGCACTTAAGCGTTTAGACCAGGTCGGGTCAGGTCAGGTCAGGTCAACCGGTAGGGGTCGTGACGGGTATTCGTAGTACCTGTCATCCGCCTCTGAGAGCTTCGTAACATGTTACAAATGCACCAAAACTACTTCGCAAATGTTCAAATGGCTTTTAAATTCGAATTCAGCTCCAAAAACTAGCCTAGAAACATGTAAAACTCGAAAAAGTGAACCAAGGTCACCAAAGTTCAATGACCTGACCTGACCTTCAGGTGACCTTGACACCCACCCTAATGCATGGGAGCAACATCAAATAACATGTTTAAACGTTTGAAACCACGAAAGGCTTGCAAACGCGCGGCTAATGCGAGCCGACATACGCCGAATCACGATTCCGGCCAAACATGGTCTCGGAAAAGAGGTCACAGGTCAAAGGTCATTTGGGTCAGGGTCATGAAATTTTCAGGGTAGGTGTAAAATTGATCAATGCGAGGGTCTTGTAAGTTTCGTCGCGATCAGCCGCTTTTTACGCGAGTTATTCCCGAAAAACCTTAGGGGGGTGCATCACCCCCCTTGTGCCGGCGGGCGGGACGGGCCCGGGGGTTTCTTATAAGTATCTTGGGGCTGGACCAAGGCTATAAACCGGCTGGACGGCTGGACAAATGTATGGGTTTTAGGTACTCTGGGCTGGACCGCGGCAGCATGAGCGCTGCGAGCGCTGCTACGCGATCAGACTCGGCAGCCATGCATGCTGAGTGCTGACCGCTGAGCTGGGATGTGGGGAGGGCAGACCGCAGAGGGAGGGAGGAAAAGATATGTGGCCGACGGTGTATGGGGTGGGTGACGATTATCACTCGGCTGATACAACATGTGGACGTGATTTGGATTTTGGACAAATTGCTCTTACCTTTGATCATGCCTATTGGCTATTTACCTACATTGAAATGAAGTGGCGTCTTTGGTAGTCAACTTCACTTCTGGTGAAGGTTTAATCAGGTGAAGGTCAACTTTCCTTCATCTGGTAGTCTTTACTGGAAGCACAGAAAATGCGGTTATTGCGCTCTTCTTTCATAATTTTGTGTTCATTTTTAGAATATTAGGACGCTAAAACATGCCGCTGCTGATTGCAGAAGGCTCTTTCTATGCTTTCGTTGGTCATTGATTACATAAGTGCTTCCGAATACTGATTAAAGAACATAAATCCACAGATGTCGAATAAGCACACTGAACTCTATAATGAATCAGCACTGTGGCTGGTAAGAGTTAGTGTGGATTTGGGCAATTCAATGGATTTGGGCAATTGAGTTTGGGTCTATTGTGATTTTGAGCCGTGAATGAGGCCGCGGTTAGGCCTTGTCGCGTTCAAATTAATTCCATTGTTGCAAAGCTCAGTGATTCAAATTTCAAGGCAAGTGCTCATGTTCATTACATCAACATTAAGGCTGATTGATTTGTTGCTGAGTGATTATCAAAGCTAGGTATATGATTTTGATTTTTTGTAGTTATAGCCCAAGTTTTGAGTTTCAGTTTGGACAGGTGAGTATCCTGTTTTTCAAACACCCCATACAGCCTGGTAGCTTAAAGGGACCCTCCCACCTTAAAGGAAATAGTTCACTTTTAACATGGGGTTTGGAACTGGAATAGCAGTTTAGTTGCTTGCGCTGAGACTAGCACAAATCAGAAGCTTTTACGGCCCAACGATCACCCTAGACGAAGATATTCCATTTTTCGTTCCGAAAAGAGTGCCTTGCAGAGGAATGCGTGCCTTGCTGAGGAATGCAGTCACGTCATCATCAGCCAATCAGAATGCTGCTTACAGCCGATGGGTTTGTCCTACGCAATATGATTGGTCAACGCGTAATAAGCTTCCGCGTCAAACATTATTTTATATAGAATATAGTTCTTCTTATACTAAAATATAGAAAATAATCCTTTTTACAAAAACGTTTTGTTTTATTTTCTGATCATTTTGAGCATAAAAAACATAAATCCATAGCAAAATACTAATTTCAGGAAAGTGAACTATTTCCTTTAACATTAGATTTGAGTTGAGATAGCCAAAATGGGGTCCCTGGCTCACAATTACCGGTTTCGGCACTCACAACATCGATAAATGCCTTAAATCGGAAATATTGAATTTCAAAATTGCAGCATTTTGATTCAGAGGGGCTAATGCTTAGGAATACCCCTCTGAATGTGTGACGTCAGCGCAAATATCTAACGATTTTTAAATGTTTGACTAAAACGTTTTGTAGCACGCGGTGGTATATGCTATTTGCGCGCAACATCTGCCGCAAACGCCGCACTTCTAAAATAAAGTCGCTAGAAACAGCGGAGATCCCAAAAAAGTAAACAAAAGTAAAAGTCTAATATCTTGAAAACCGGTGAATATTTTTCGGTGAAATTTGGTAGATATTCGTTTTCGCTCGTTCTGAACCGAGCGACATCACTTTCATGCCAATTCATAAACTTTTTTGAAGGTGGGAGGGTCCCTTTAAGGGAATAGTTCACTTTCCTGAAATTTGTTTTTTTCAAATGGATTTACTATTTCATGCTCAAAATTCAGTCAGGCTACAAAACTGCTATTCCAGTTCAAAACCCCATGTTAAAAGTGAACTATTTTCTTTAAATGACTTCACAGTTCAATATACCCATTTGGCATTTTTCATGGATTATGATGCACATTGCACCCACTACCTACCTAGGTACCTATGAGTGTAGGTGTTACGTGGTGTGCTAGCCCAGATTATCAAGCATTGATTTACCTGACCAATGACCATATTCACACATTGATGTTGTTCAATTAGACTAAGATTTCTTTTTATTAAGCATGCATGAGGATTGAGTTTTGCTGGATTGCATTATCATGACATCATATCATGTAATGTTTGATTTGTGCATGTTTGCTACTTATGTCCTTTTATTTTGTCAGGGCCCGCATCAAATGCAATACCTACCTGTGCTTAGAGTTAGGTTATTTTTAAATCACTTCTAGAAAGTTGTATTACTATGGCCATCTCATACTGGATGATCTATATCACCATGATCACATTTTTACATTTAGGAATAGGTAAGGGTAAGGGTACCTACCTTCCTATCAACTTACACTTGATAATTTTTTCCCATTACCTCTGTTGACTTAAATATCTTGCATCTCAATTCTCAACATTTAACCTTGTATGATTTCAATTTGTGCAGTTGTCACCAAGATGCTGAGGTTTATATTTTATCATTTGCAGGGTCCTGCCGCAGTGGTGGGTGGTGGCCACATCATGGGGGTGCCCCAGACGCTGACCCATGTGCAGTCGGTGCGCATGTTGTACAAATCAGTGCTGCGACTGCACCGCGGTCTGCCCGCCGAACTGAAGGCCCTTGGCGACCAATACGTGCGCGATGAGTTTCGGCGACATCGGGACGCGCCTGCGCGCGAGGCCGGTCTGTTCCTCCAGGAGTGGGCCGGCTACGCGCTCAACCTGGCGCGCCAGCTGGGCGTGCGCGGTGTGAAGGGGGCGCGGCCGATCGGCACGCACATCTCCGAGGAGCAGCTGGACCATCTGCGGCCCGAGCAGCTGGTGCAGCTGTATGAACTGTTCCAGGAGACCCAGAACCCGTCGCGGCCGCCGGACTCGGCCTCCGACTGACCCGGCGCCGGCCGAGCTCCGCTAGCCACCGCGTGGTCTGCTAGTGCTGGCCAGGGGACAGGTGTCGAAGAGAGTGAATTTGAGTCTGCGTTGGTATGCCTGGGTGTGTGTGGGGCTCTATGACAGGCTTATGATAGATTGCAATATTTATTGGCCACCAAAGAAACGCTTTATACGTCAATTGGTTGGCAGATTTTCCCTCATTTTGGTCTTGCCAATTTATACCGTGATGTCTGATGTGCATTGTAAGTGGGAAGATACCTACCTAGTACCTACCCACGCAGTTGATATATAGAAATAGGATGTGACCATCGTGAATGTTTTGGCTTCTACTAGAAGCACCAATCTACCACGCTCATGAGTCCTGATTCACTAGTTTTCGGCATGTTTCTGGACCAAGATTTATGTGGTGGTGTGATCCCTCAGTTCGGCCTCCTAGAAACAGCAAATAACATACAACATGTATTACATGGGACATGTCCACAAGTAACAGAGCCCACTACAAGTTTGACATCAAACATGAATTATTTACAAGTGATGATGACTATTTACAATGAGACAATGACAATATCGTTCAACAATGCGGTCCAGCGCCAGCGCACATAATTCCACGGCATTCTAGTCTTCTTTAAATACACCAGTCAAAATCGACTGGTGGCGCCCAAACAACGTACCCTCCCCGTCCCTCCCGAATTGACCCCGTCGTGTCCCCGACCCCCGGTTTCAGAACGATCCACTAGTTCATTGGGCTGCCACCAGGGGCTGGCCACGTAGTCGCAGCTCGCTGTAGACATCGTCGCCCTTCATCAGGCTCTGTAACAACAGAGAAATAAGACGTCAGACATGGTTACCTACACCAAAAACTAGCAACGATTCGAACACTGCCACTACAGTGTTGAATACACGCTAAACCATCCCAAGATTTCACACTCGACACACTGGGCCAGGTAACAAAACGAGCGCCCCTAGCTGTAGCAATAAGCGGCAAAGCTTCCTAATCCATCCGCCAGGTGGCCACCCATACCAGTGAGCGATTGATCCAGAAAGCCGGCCGGTTCGGGCAGCGGTTTGCCACTTCACCGCACCGAGGCGTCACGGCCACAGTCACTCAGCTATTTATAGCCAAACGATGGGACTGTGACGCTCGTGACGACTCGATTCAGAGGCAGCGCGTGACGCCAGTCGGTGAGTTGGGACAGTTCCCCGCCGTCCGCGAGTTGGGACAGTTCCCCGCAGCCGCTACAGGCCGACCGACGCAGCCACTCCAATAACGGCGCCCGCCGGACCGTCGCCGGCGGTGCTTATTAGGCGGGGTTCCCCGGCTCAGGCAGCCCGTCCCTGAGAGCCGCGAGCGGCAGCGACAAAAAGGTGACTAATGAGGTGCGCGGCGGGGCGACGGGACTGGCCCGCACGTCTCGGGACTCCCAGAGACGACTCGAGTCTGAGTCCGGAGTCCCCGTCACGACCCACCATCTACCTGCACCATCATCCTTCAAAGAACAATAAAAAAATCTCCACACCTCATTACCGCGACGGCCATTCCCGTATGCACGTCCCTAATCAACACCTTGCGACATGGCTCTATCAACTTTTCCCGCCGAGCGACTCTGATTCTTACCTCAGACTCTGAGTCGGACGATGAGAGGTCCATCTCGGAGTCAGGCAGTGGCGACACTTGCGCGCCCAGGTGGAGCAGCAGCTCGGCCACGTCTCTCCTGCCGTTGAGCAGCGCCAGCTGATAGCCGCTGAGACCGCCGTACGTGGGGATATTCACCTCGGCCTTGCCCGCCTCGACCAGGAAGCGCAGCATCTCGATGTCGCCCATTTCAATGGCGAGGACGAGCGGGGTGCGGCCGCTCTTACCCTCCTGTAGGCGAAGCAAAATGGTGGTCAGATGGTACGAGGGCGAGGGGTACGGTCATCGGGGTTTAGAATGTTGACCCAGGGTGCCAGAGGCCGATTTAGGTCCCCATGCTGCAAACGATGCAGCTAGATGCGCAGTAGGGCCAAGGGATCATTTGGGACTCCGTGCCCCCTCCGCCATCGTCGAGATGCATGCCGTCCCCAAACAAACAACCAGGCTACTCTACGCGGCGAGTGAACATCGCACAGGGTTCAGTGCTTACCGTGATGTTCACGTTGCATCCGTGAATGATGAGGTGCGCCGTGATTTCACGGTCACGGGAAGCAACGGCGAGGTGGAGGCAGCTCAGACCTGCAACAAACGAAAAAAGGAGTTAGAGCGCGCTGCAAACAGGGTGATATTTCATCGGATAGAACTAGTCGCGGTTTCTCTACATTCGTGTAGTGTTAATCGCGTGTCTGCCTATCGTTCATGACGGTTGATTGGCTGCGAACACTGTCGGAGTTCACCACCCATTCGAGACCACGGCTCACATATCGAGAAACGATACGGGCCCGGGACTCTGTCGCGTCCTCAGCGCCGGCCAATATTACGGATTTATGCGGTGTCACACGCCGCTGTCCGGCGGCCGAGCAGCGCCCCACCGATCTAGGTTCCCGAGCCGGTATGAGCCGGACCGACCGGTCCTCTCCTGTCCGGCGGAGGCAGATCGGGCTTCTGGCGGCCGGTCAGGCCTTGGCCGCGGGTCAGGCGGCCTGACCGGCCTCTGGCTGTCCCCGCCGGGTTCGCTGCCAGCGCCAGTCACGAGTGGAGAACGGGCGCTGGCTGCCAGTCGCCACATTCCGCCGCCAGCTGGAAATCCCGGCCGGAGCACGACAGCCTGTCTCCACGGCCCGTCTCGTGCCCGCCCCCTGGCCGTTTTCCGGGCGGGGAGGGGAGGAGGGTGCAGCTGCACCGGCCGGGGCAGGTGGTCACCCGACCGCCGCCGCCGCCGCCGCCGCCCGACAGGCTCGTTTTTACGTGTTGAAGGAAATCCCTGGCCGAGACCGACTCGTGATAGGCTTTCACAGACACTGAGGACATGCCGTGATAGCCGAACGTGCCGGGCGCTGGCGTTCGTAGCGTGACCATCGTCCAACACGCTTCCGGAGCTTTGTGTGTCGTAGACGCCCAGCGTACGCGCACGAACCAGACTGCCGTGGAGAGGATATGATTTAAGCACATTCCAGGGGGCCCGCGGCGGTGCAATGGCCAGATTAGGGTCTGCCCGACACGCTGCTACGCCATAACATGCAATAGTATACAGGAACAAAATTGGTCAGAACCGGCGGATTCCGACCCGTCACGGTTCAGTTTTCGGCTCGGAGCTGACGTTGGGGGAACTACCGACCGCTGTCCGATGACCTTATCACGGCCACACGACAGGCCAGGGGCGACCCCTGACCTCAGGCAGCGCCACAGGCTTCCGCCGCGGCTTTGTGTCGTCAAACGGTGGGGTCGGGTCGGTCCCGCCGACACCGACCTAGTCCCTCTGAGAACCACAATGACGCACGGCGGCGACCGCCTGGGACGGTACGTGACTGACTAACTGAGGAGGCCGGCCGGCCCTGACCGCCGGAGCTGGTGACTGGGCGCGCGTGCAGACTGATTCAGCCGCCGCCGTCGGTGGGCCGGCCGCGTATTTCGGGCACGCCCGCCGGCCGGCCGCTCCGATTTAGCGCCGCTGGCAGCCGACGACTGGGAAAACCAGTTCAAAAATACGCGCCGCCGCCGACGCTGCGCGCGCGCCGACTACCAAATAAGGTCATGCGGCGGGCCCAGGCGCGTGCCAGCCGCGCGAGAGGGTAGCCCACGCGGCGCGGACCGCGCGGACTTCCCAGCGAGGCCGGCGCCGCCGTCCGCCACCGCGCTGCCGCGTCACTGCGCGGCCCAACAAAGAGCGGTTCCGCCGCAGCGAACTGCGCACGGCGCGCAGTGCGGCGGCGGCCCATCCTCTCTCCTCAATCCTCCTCGCTCTGCCGGCCGCGGAGGGGAAGCCCCCGGCCGGGCTGTTCTCCGCCGCTCTCTCTCTCTCTGAAGGCACGCGTGGCCGCTCGCGCAATCCGGCGAGAGCCGGTAGCGCGGCCGGCCTCGTGGCGGCCGTCCCGGCTGGCATCACGCTCCGCTGGTCGGCCGGCGGCGACGGCGAGGCCGGGGAACTCCCTCTGCCGCCGGCCGCGGAGCAGACCGATCAATAGTGGAGCCGCATCACAGTAGAGACCCGGCGCACAGCGTCCCGCAGGCCGCACAACGGCAGCGGGCTACTCAGTCCCGTCCCAGCCAGACAGAGCCGCTCACCGCCTCACGGAAACCACAGACGGCCGCGGACTGGACTGGATGAGTCCGGATGAGCCTCTCGCGGGTCGTCGTGTTCGACCATTGGGTATTCTGGTGGGTGTCGCCGGTCGGTCGGGGCGCAGACGGGGCCGGTGTCGTCTGGATCGCACCGGGGCGGACCCGGCGACCGCCGGTTACCGCCCGGGCGGTCGGTATCGACCGCTAGCACACCAGACACCGTGTCGGCAGCCGCCTACTCGTCAACATGCCGTACCAGGAATCGGCTAAGTCCCTTTAACACAGCCGCGGGCGCTCGATACTGCGACCGACCGCCCCCGCCGGCCGCCCTACAGACCGCCGGGCGACCGGCACCAGTCGGTCTGTGCATAGCGGCTCTATTTTCGGCACGGCCGCCCTTCACTTCCGCCGAGCAGCACTCCTGACACAGCGGGGAATTTATGAGCCCCCTGTAACGCCTCTATTGTTAATGGATGTTTCACGTTCCACTAGCTGCAGCTGCAGTGTGTGGGGTCGGTACAACTGCCCACCTCGCTTTACGTTGTGCACCGATCCCAACTATTCAAACATTCCACCCAGTGCAGTAGCTAACTCCCAATCCCCCCCGACTGCTCCGTTCGGCCCACCCACCTTGGTAGTTCCATTCGTCGAGCTGAGCGCAGGCCAGCGGCCTCGGCTGGCAGGTGTAGCGGCACGCCGCCTGGCGCATCTCGTTGGCCGTCACCGGCTCTGTCAGGTTGAGCACACAGCCGCGGTCGCCGCGCTCGCAGGCCACATGAAGAGGCGTGTTGCCGTGCCGGTCGCGCAGCGTCGGGTCAGCACCGGCCACCAGCAGGTGTCGCACCAGCTCCGAGTCACCGGTCAGTGCCGCCAGGTGGAGCGGCGTCTGCGGACAGGTCAGGTCAGAGGTCAGGTCACCGCGTGACCCCACTCACTATCAGTCACGACGCCGGGGAATCCCCAGACGCCCATGTCGATAGGAAGACTTGTATCGGTAAGTAAGCAAGTGCTGTAATCGCAATATTCGACAGCTCAAGGTCTGTGGAACCTCCGTGTTCGATCCCTCCTGAGTGGGTGCTCACTGTTCATCGCCCACTGTGTTTTCGATTCAGGATGAGTAGCCAGATTATGTGGCCGGGTTTATGTACTCGAGATTGTGTGATCAGGGCG